CCTTGTAGCTGGAAGCTAGAGTGTGTGAAGGAGGAGGGATGTAAAATCCATTTGGAAGGTAGGATCATAGACCTAGAATTGCAAGACTCCTCAGAGGCCTTCTAATCTAACTCTGCCCCTTTACAGTTGAAGAACCTGAGGCCCTGGAGGTGAAGTGATTTCCCTCAAGCTTGAGACATAGGGTTTAAAAATCAGGTCCTCTGACTCCAGAAGCAGTACTTTTTCCAGTGTACCATAGTTTGGAGCCAAATTTTGAAGGCCTTTAAATGCCAAACAGAGGAGTTTGTATTTTATGTTAGAGGCAATAGGGAAGCGATGAAACTTCTTGATTAGGGTAGTGACAGTGTCAGCCCTCTATTTTAGAGTGGTCAGTTTGTAAAGAAATAGAGAATGGTTTGGAAAGAGGGGAGACTTGAGGCAGAGATATAGCTTACTTAGGTTATTGCTTTGCCTGAGGGAGAAATGTTGATGGCCTGTACCAGGACAGTAGCCAACTGGCAAAGCGGGACAGATGCTAGAGATGTGTTGGAGATAACAGTTGACAAAACTTTGCTACTGGTTTGATATGTAGGATGAAGGAGAGTTAAGGAGTCAAGGATGAGACCAAAATTGAGAACCTGGGTGACTTACTGGAAGTGTGGTAGTGCTATTGTCAGAAATAAGGAATCGGAAGGGTGGGGAGTACAGAAAAAGATACTGAGTTCTGTTTTGAATGTTTTAAGTTGGAGGTGGCTAATGGGTATCTGGGTGAAGGTGACTGCAATTAGTGATGTGGGACAGACAGGTGCTCAAGAGAAATGAGGAAGGGATGTGTAAGTAAGTATGGGAGTCATCTGCATATAGATAATAGTGCCAAGATAGAAACTAATGAAATTATTATAAAGAGATGGGAGAGGGAGACTACTGAAGAGCTCACATGTGTGCTCAGGACAGAGCTCTGGGGTATATCTACATATAAGGGTTGGGATGTGGGTGTTGATCCTTTATAAGACAGAAGGCTCTTATTTTGATAGGTAAGAGGAGAACTTGGAAAGAGTAGTCAAGAAAACCCAGGGAGAAGAGAATATTTGGGGTGGATTTGGGTTGGGATGGGGAAAGGGTAGCCAGTAGTGTCAGATGCTGCCGAGGACAGGAGAGGATTTTAGTCAAGAGCTAAAGTCAGGTTACAAGGGGGTTAAGGAGTGGGAGTTGAAAAAGTGGAAGCAGTGTGGGTGTGTGGCCTTTTCTAGGAGTCTGTGAAGTGAAGATGCATAAAAATAGCTTGAGGGGAAGAGGGTCAAGTGAACATTGTGGGTTTTTTGGTTTGTTTTTAAAGGATTGTGATGGGGTATGTTTCTAAGCAGCAGGGAAGGAGCCAGTGGATAAAGGATTGAAAATAGGGAATGATAGGGTAGGATGGAGCAAGTTTTTGGTGATGAGGGGATAGGATCAAATAAATAAAACTTCATCTAAAATCACCAGTTACAATGTAGTTTTCATATGATTTCTGCTTCTCACAGCATGGGGGCATTGGAATCTTGACCTGTATCTTCTACTCTGTCACTCCCTGCAGCAGGGAGAAAGAGACTCAGGGGAAGGGGACAACAAAGGTGAATTGTCTTCTTTCAAAGGGAAAATGACTAAAACCTTGGGCTCTGGGAATCCTGACATAATCATAAACAAACTTGCCAATACGCCTTAATCATTCCTCAAATGTCCCCTCCCTTTTTGAGGTGATATCATTAATATAATATAGGGAGAAGGCATTCCTTCTAATCCTGAAGTCACCAGAAATGAGTCATTTCTTGCCTCTGACTTCTGTTCTCAGATTTTGCCTCTGAAACAGTCGCTACAGCAGTACAGTATTTGGTCTAAAATCATTGGCACTTTTAGTTCTCAATTATTTTCATCTTGTGAGTATCATATAGCAACATCCACCTCTCCCTATGTCATAGTTTACAACTTTACCACAGGTGACTGCAACTTTCCCTTGTCCCCAGTCATTTACTTCAGGATTTAATGTGCTTTTGTTAAGAACAGAAAAGTAGTATTTCTTTTATTTGACTAACTTCAGAAATTATCAGGTTTGTGACAGATTCATACTAAAAATCTAAGATGGAGACTCTGTAAAGGGGGAAAAGGTCATGAAAGGAAGTAGCTTGTCTGATAGGGTGATCAGGAGCAGTGTCTTGTATGTAGTAAAGATTTCTATGATAAGACATTGGTAAGGAAGAGGAGGATGAGCAGGGGGTGCTGGAGCCAGCTCGTACCATGAGCTCATTGTTAAATTTTCAAGGTGAGCATTTACATCTCAGAAATTGGCAAACACTGCAATTCAGGGCTGCGTGGTTGTTTCATTGATTGATTAGACTTCATTAAGTGATGGAGAAAATGTTAATAAAACCATTTAAACTTAAAAGTGTATCATGAGTACATTTTTGTCCGCCTTGGAGATCCAGTTTTTAAATATCTACCAGCACACTCCTCAGTACAAGATAAATAGAATAAGAATAATAAATAATAAAGAAGAAGATCAAAAGGAAGATAAGTGTTCTTGACTTTTCAGGGCTTATTCAAACAATATTCTCGTGGAGGTGAAACAAAGAGAAAAATGATGGTTTTTCTTTGAGTGGAGGATATTGGTTTGGTTTGATTTTGCCACTTCTTAGGGACAATAGTTGCCCTAGAATGTCAGATTGTTGCTTTGACAGATTCTCTTCCTTGCCAACCATAGTCACTCTGCAGAGGTTGCCAGTTGGTAAATTTCAATTTTCCAAGGTGGGGAAAGGTTTAGAAAAGTGACCAAAAGGAAGTCTGGGGGTCAGATTGTATGGGAATATATAGCTGAATAGGAGGGAAAAGTTAAAAAAAGAAAAAGTAAACTCAACAAGTCTTTCCCCATCCCAGATCCCTGAAGTAGTTTTCAGAGAAGAGGATTGTGCTAAAAGATTGATAGGAGAGAGAGGCTTAGAGTTTGGAAAAATATCTCTTTGCCTTTTTTCTTCAAGTCTCCTGCTTTGTTCACTATAGCACCTAGCTGCCTTAATAATCTCCCATATGTAGTCCCTCACTAGTCGTGGAACAGCAGCCTATGTTAGTATTTCTGATGGGAAATTAGAAGAATGGCTGAGTGTATTTCCAAGGAGTTAGCAAGCATGACTCAATTCAAGATAATTCCTTCCCTGTTTGTTTCTCAAACCGAAGCTGGAAAGAACAATGTTTGAAGTGTGGGAAAAGAGGAACAGGACTAGTTACCTAAACTCTAAAGTCAGAAAGCTATGAATTCAAATTCTTCCCTAGATCCTTGCTAGCTAGCTCTGTGACCTTGGGCAAGTCACTCATCCTCTATTTGCCTCAGCTTCCTCATCTATAAAATGAGGAAAATAGTGGTACCTCTCTTACAGGTTGTTGTGAGGTTCAAATGAAATAATGTAGATAAGGCATTTTTATTAAGGAACTATGATATGTTAACTGTTATTATGGGTATTGTCTCGTATTCTCTAAAAGCAAAACTGTTAAGCCAGTATCCATTATACAGCCCTCTTCTGTTTATTTGTTTCCAAAACATTATCCTACAAAATTTCTTTTGAAATATTTGTCCTTAATACTATAGCATTAAAGGTCCACTCCAGGTAGACCCTGAGAAGGGGGTGCTAGCAGACAATAAACTGGAGCTGGGTGGCACAGTGGATAGAGTACTCTGTCTAGCAGGAAGATCTGAATTCATATCCAGTCTCTGACACTTACTGTCTGTGTGACTTTGGGCAAGTCACTTAACCGCTTACCTGTTTACCTCAGTTTCCTCATCTATAAAATGGAGTTAATAGTACCTACTTTCCAGGGTTGTTGTGAAGATCGAAAGAGATAACATAGAGCCTTTGTAAAGCACTTTGTAAACGTTAAAGGGCTATTGTTGTTGTTCAGTTATTTTTTTTGTTGTGTCCGACTCATTGTGACCCCATTTGGAGTTTTCTTGGTAACAATATTGTAGTGGTTTGCCATTTTCTTCTCCAGCTCATTTTATAGATGAGGAAACTGAGGCAAATAGGGTTAGGTGAATTGCCCAGGGTCACACAGCTGGTAAATGTCTGAGGCCAGATTTGAACTCAGGTAGATGAGTCTTCCTTTTTCCAAACCCAGTGCTTTATTCACTGAGCCACCTAGCTTCCCCTATTAAGTGCTAGCTAGCTATTATTTATTAATATTATTGCTAACTCTTCTTAAATTTAGAAAGTAATACAAATTTTCAGTATTTACAATAGCAGCCAAATAGTACCCAAATTAGAAAGAAATGTATTAGGGGAGAAAGGAGCACAGGTGATGTTTAAAAGCCTACTGGTCTAATATAAGCTTGAAGTGCTGGCTGATTTTCATCATAAGCCTAAATGCCCAATTGATATTCCTGAATATGTCATGAATTATACACATTATATGTTCCTGGATATGTCATTCATCAATTCAGGAAACATTGGAGTACTTGCCAGGGGCAGGGCACCATTAAAGCTGCATTATACTACAGTACAGCTAAGTTTTGAGAGTAAAATATAAACAAAATGTTCAGGGCAGCTAGGTGGCACAGTGGATAGAGCACTGGCCCTGAAGTCAGGACAACCTGAATTTGAATTCTGGCCTCAGACCAAACACTTGACGCTTACTAGCTGTGTGACCCTGGGGAAGTCACTTACGCCCAATTGCCTTTAAAAAAACGTGTTGTAGAAATTGTAGGTAAAATTTAGGTTAAAAGCTGAGGATTTCAGTAGGCAGGAGTGGGAAAGGGAGCATATTTGGCCATAAGAATGGCATGAGCAGAGATATGGAGAAGAAAGGCAACAACACATTTGGAGAAGGGTGCATAATCTAGTTTGGCAGGACTTTTTTTTTTTTAAACTCCAAACTGTCTCTTAGTTAGATTTTTCTCATCATTGATTCTTGTTATGATCATTTTGTTAGCACCAGTTCTTCTAGCTTCAGGCCTAATTTTACTAAGAATATTTTACTGAAAAAAGGATCGTGTTTTCCAGAATGATGGCCGGGAAAGACAGCGCCACGAACATAGCGAAAGGCAGCGGCATGGTAACCCTGAGTCAGAGACCAATGGACAACCGCAGGGTGGCACAAGGCAGGTGGTGGAACATGATGATGAAGAAGATGAAGAGTTGACTTTAAAGTATGGTGCCAAACACGTGATCATGCTATTTGTACCAGTCACACTCTGCATGGTTGTGGTTGTGGCCACCATCAAATCTGTCAGCTTTTATACCCGGAAGGATGGACAGTTGTATGTATGATGTGTTTATTTTATTATTCTCTAAAACAGGGAGGCCTTTTAAAGACTCCATTATCACTTTTAGAGGCCTCTTGTAATAAAGGTGCCTTAATTATAGAGTCTTCCTCTGATTCTCAAAAGCAAATTCTTTCTTGACAAGAGGAAGGGGGTTTTTGGATCCCAGTTGAAGAAGTGTGTTGAGTGGGGTAGGGGGCTGTATTGGAAATCTTGATAAAATTTTTGTTGACATTGGTCACCAGATCAACCTTTGTTTTTTTGTGGGAGGTGTTGGAGGAGGTAGCTTGAAAGGATGATCCTATGAAGGAAATAAGTAATCAAGAAATAAAACTTGAGAATCTCTACTATAGATGATTCTTTATTGCCAAGTAAAGAGGATCTCTGGTGCCATGTGATATTATCTCAGTATTAAATTTAATTTTCAATCTTCCTGAAATCAAGTCCTTTTTTTAGAGGCAAAAGTCAAGAATTACATACTGTTTCACCACCCTTAGCTTGTTCATAATGTAAATCTATTTCTTTGTTTTATATATCAGCAAGTAGTGAGTGAAGACCATTTGACTTAGATAGCTTCTTATAGAGTATCCACTAGATGGAGCCAACACCTTGCTTGAAATCATAGCAAAGGTATATATACACACCTTTGCTCAGTAAATACTGTACTTTAAAAAAAATTACTAAAATAGGTGAGTTGGGAAAAAATTAATTTTTAAAATTAATTGAGAAAAATTATAGTCTCTTTTTGCATTGTGGGGGGAGGAAGACACAGAATTATGGTTTGGGATATACTCTGACGTAGCAATGTACTTTTGTTGTATTTTGTTTTCTTTTAGAATTTATACTCCATTCACTGAAGACACAGAAACTGTAGGGCAGAGAGCACTGCACTCCATTCTGAATGCTGCCATCATGATCAGTGTTATTGTGGTTATGACCATCCTATTGGTGGTACTTTATAAATACAGGTGCTATAAGGTGAGATGAAAAGCACAAGAACCTGGTTTAATGTTATAACTATTTTTTTTTGTGACCATTTTCTTCCAGTCTTTCCGATTTGTCTTATGCTCACCTCTACTTTAGACCAGGAAAAGTCAAGTGATAAACTTTTTAAAAAATTAATTTAAATTTTTCATTGATAGCTTTTGGCCCTCATTTTTTAATATATTCTTCCCTCCTTGACAACTCAGCAAACTGCTCCTTATAGCAAAGAATTAAAAAGAAAAAGTGGTAAAAAACATTCAGCAAAGCTTACCTAACATTATCAGCTGAATCTGACAGTATATACAACATGTAAGTCCCATACTCTCTTACCCTTCAAATAAGGTGCATTTTCTCATCTCTTCTTTGGTGCCAAGTTTGCATATTATAATTTCATATGTTATTTTATTATTATTTTTTTTTTGCTCTGTCCACGTATATTGTTGTCATTCTGTATATTATTTTCCTGGTTCTTTTGACTTCATTCTACGTTAGTTCATGTAATGAATTTGCCATGTTTCTCCATTGAAGTGCAATACTTTGATCATTTCTTGCAACACAATAATATCCTATTATGTTGATCTTCCACATTTGTTTAGCCATTCCATAATTAATAGGCATCTACTTTGTGTCCAGTATGGATATTACAGTCACCTTTTTGGCATAATTCCTAAGTGCTAACCAAACTAGTGGGACCAGTTCACAGCTCACCAATAGTATATTACTGTGCTCGACTTCCTGAAGCTCCTATATAACTTTGGTTACTTCAGTTTTTTTTTCTTTCTCAATTTTCTGAATGTGAGGTGAAATCTAAAAGTTCTTTTAATTGGTATTTTTCTTTTGTTATTACTGATCTGGAGCAATATTTCAGGTGGTTTGAGTTTGCAGTTCTTTTCAAAACTTTATTCTTAAGTTGACTCCTTCTGCATTGGGAAACATAGAGCGTAATCTTCTTAATACTTTTTATTAACCTTCTGATTAAATAGAGGAGATAACTTCACTGAATGACTCCCTTCATTTGGCAGATGAAGAAGATGTAAGAGAGTTGTGGTTTTAGGTTGATGACAGGGAAAAAACTGTACAAATCGTTGATTCTGATTTTTTATTTCTGTCTCTTCAGGTAAATTTCATATAGTTGTTTGCCTGGAACTACTCTTTATCTGCATTTCTCACCTCTTTTTGTGACACTGTATATGAAGTATGCCATGTCTTTTCTGGTCTTTGTTTTATACCTTGATCATTCTTGATTACTAAGCAGATAGGTGGTACAGCAGACAGAGTGCTGGCCTTGTAGTCAGGAAGACCCGAGTTCAAATGCGGCCTCAGAGACTACTTAGTTGTGTGACCCTGGGAAAGTGCCTTAGCCTCTGCCTTCCTTAGTTTCCTCAACTGTAAAATGGAGATAATATTAATATCTACCTCCCAAGGTTCTTGTGAAGATTAAATGAGATATTTGTAAAGTACTTAGCACAGTGCTTAAGGACTATATAAATACTAGTTCTTCTTATTATTAATTTTGCAATAAGATTATCTCTTTTACATTTCTGTGTATTCTGTGATGTTGAACCTTGGGTTCATTTCCCTCTGCTCTAAACACATACGGGTCTTCTTTGATGGACTTCCTCCATTTCATCATTTCTTATGTACCTGAACTCTGATTTTCTTTCTATCTCTCCACAGAAGTAGTTCCTGCTGAGGCATCTGATGACTTCTCTTTACAAAATTCCCTTTCTGTCTTCTTACTTCTCTAGGTTTTCTGTCTTTGACATTCCACTCTCTTCCTTGACAGTCAAGACAGGCTTCTTGACAGGTTACATTGACTTTTCTGCCCCTTCTCTTACTATTCAGCACCCTCAGTTAGTTATCTTTGCTGGTTCCTCTTCTTCCTCTCCTGCCTACCTGGGAAAGTCCCCCCAGGCTATTCCTTCGTGTCATTTATGCCCCTCTTAATACTTCTTCAGGTATCCCATACTTTCTCAGCTGCTCCCAAATCATCAGCTCTAGCCTGGTCTCAGTATGTTCTCCTTATTCTCTGTAGGTAATCTCTACTTGGATAGCTGCTGATGTCTAAAGCTCCATCTGAGATTGAACTCACTATCCTTTCCTCTACTCTTATAACCACTTTCCAGCTTCTCAGTCATTGTCAGCTAAGTCTTTGTTAGTCATCTTCAGTTTCTCCATGTTCTTTACCATTCATATCACCAAAGCCTACCAATTGTTCCTCTTTTCTCTCTGTTCCCACAGTCCCTCAGCAGACCCCAGATTTCTCATATTTGAACTTGTGCATTATCATATTAACTAACTTTATTGAAAGCCTGAAAATACTGTCTTTTGAATTTACCTCATTAAGAATAAAAATAATTATCCAAAAGTAAGATTTTGATTCTGTCACCTTTCTCAAAAATTTACAGTGGTTTCTGGTTCTCTTTTCAGTCAGAACCTCATAATGATGATCTTAAGGGTTCTTTTCAGTTTGCTCTAGTGTCATATTCAACTACTGTCACCATGAATCATTTGAGCCATAAACCAGAAATTGAGAACTGTAGAGGCCAGTATAGGATTATGGGAATAAGGGAGAAGAGTAGGGCCAAGAATTACAGCAGAGGATGAATTGTCAGGCTTTGATGATTAACTAGCTGTGGATGGTGAAGAAGATAAAGTTTAAAAATAGCTTATCTTTATGCTTCCTGGGACCATAGGTCCTATTCCTACCATCAAACAAGTATTTAGAGTGATGTACCTCTAATCCCTGTATCGCCCTTATGTACTGTGACTTTCACAGAGGTCACATTTCTCAGTTGCATAGACACTGATTATTATATCCCTATCTCATCTTGTTCTCATTACATGAGATAATGTATGTGAAAATGCTTTATAAACTATAAGGCACTTTACAGATGTAAGGAGTTGTTTATTAATAATGAGACCATTGGAATTCACAAGAAATGTTAGTCTAGCCTAATATATCTATAGTCAGCTTCTCTGGGCACCATTCAGTATTAATAGTTTATAGCAGTATATAATCATTCCTAACTTAAGCCAAGTAATATAAGTTTTGACCATCGATTGCACCGTAATCCATATACCATTGCATATGTGAGTACATATGGTTTACTGCCCTATCTTGATTAAGATGCATTGTTCAGATTAAAATGAAATCCTAATCCATGCCAAGTATTCAAGTAAAATGACTCTTATTGGGGGGAAAAAAAGAATACCATTAGAGAAACGTATGACTAGAAAAGAAGATAGTTTAGTCACATCACAGAGGTTGGTTAGATTGTAAGCTCTTTGAGGGCAAGGACTGTCTTTTGCCTTTTTCTATATCTTCATTTTTAAGAGATTGAGAGGAAGGTCCACACAACATGTTGGGTGTCAGATTTACAAAAGAAAATGAACAGGAATCATACAGGATGGTCAAACATGGCTGCATTACAGTCAGGATCGTTAGAGTATGTCCCCATCATTAAAATCACAGGTCCATTGAAGTATCGGATTCCTTGCCATCAAAACAGTATCACCAGCTTTCCTGCCTGTGGCTGTGGGAGATAGATATTGAAATTTTCAGATAATCTAAAAGTTAATTTCTGCTAATCATTTCGAGCCTTGCTGCTGCTGTCATAGGTTTTAATAAAGAAAAATGGGCATTTTTTTTGTTTTTACATCACCTTCATTCCCAAAAAAATCCCCCTTCCTGCCTGCATTTCTTGTACCAAAGACTAAAACAGAAAGGAGGGGGGAGAAGTTGAACAAAATTAAACAGCGCATCAAGCAAGTTTAATACTATATGCAGTGTTCCACTTGCATAGGCCTTTACCTCTACAAATAAAGAAGGGATTTACATCTTCTCATCTCTTCTCTGGGGCCAAGTTTATATCCTATCTTTTTTTTATTATTATTATTTTTAAAGCATTTTCTGTCTCTCCTTTCTGTTAACCATTATCCCCAATTGCACAAGAAAGAAAAAAGAAAATCCTCATGATAAATATGCATAGCCCAGCAAACATTCTCACATTGACTGTATCCAGAAATGCTTACCTTGTTCTGCGTTTTGCATTTCTCACCTTGCTGGCAGGATGTGAGTATTATTACTGTCATTTTTTTTTTTAAGTCAGTCAAGAGTTGCCTGGTTAAAGTTCGAAAAGAAGGCGATCCTAGGATCAGATAATACATATTATAACTGGGTGGGAACTTAGAAATCATTTGGTCTAATTTCATTTTGTAGAGAAGGAAACTGAAGCTTAGAAAGGTGATTTTACTTTCCTAAAGATGCATCTGGGATTTCAATCCAGGTCTCCTGACTCCCAGCCCAGTACTTTTTCCTTTAACACTAGTTGGTTAGTTAAATTTCATTTTTCTGTGGCTTTAGAGGCTATATAAATGAAAAGGAAAATGGCCAAAGCAGACTGGATAAGCAGCTAGGTACCCAAATAATTGATAAATTGGATTTTCAGCCCTTGAACTAACAGTAATTTTATTTTATCTAATAGTGATTATAACACTAGGTATGTCTTGATTTTTCTTTTTGTAGTTTTGCTCTTAGCTCGCACATTTTCAGACTGCTTAAAGAAAATATGTATACAGCCAGAAATTCGCACTTATTTTGTCATTTTTTTCTTGTTGGCATGTAATTTTGTTCAGGTTTTATTAACTAAAATTGACATTGGAGAAACAAAACACTAGGCAGGATTGTAAAATGAAGTATGAGCATTTGAGTCTGTGAAGTTTAGAAACTTGCCACGACCTGTTCTGAAAGCCACTAAATAAATGCTTGAGAATTTGAAAAGGTTGTGTAATGTCCTTGTGAAAGATATAGAACTTTAACAACAATGAAAACAAGTGGAGTATGAAAAAGGTGATAATATATCCCATGCAGTATTTTTGCAATTCAGTTAAAAAAGCACTTTTTACAGACTGAAGTCACAAAAGTTTATTAATGTAACAATGTTTCAGGGAATGCTATTGAAGGAGTGTTAGAATGAATTATTTCTTTGTTTTGGGGTAATGGCTCCTTCCTGTGAAACCAGCAATAGTGAATACATACCCTATTATGTGGGAAAGCTGAGAGGACTTCACAGAGTTAGGAGACTAATGTTTTCCTTGTCTGTGATCCCAAAAGAGAGTGCTATTAAGTCATGGACGTAAAAGGTTTTGAATTTGGTTATACTGTCTTCTATTCCCTGTTAAACTATTATTCACATTATTTATTATTATTATTATTATAGTCATTTGTTTAATTATTCACATTATTATTATTATAATAGTCATTCATTATTTATTATTCACATTATTTAAACTTCACTAGGTCATTTTAAGTACTATCATTTCTCTTTATTAAAAACACAGTTGGGGAGCAAAAGTAGTATTATAGATTTTCTGGTCTTAATTACACATTAAATTTGGGAAGCAGTTTCTCTTTTGTATAGTAATTTATGAATCTGTTACTATATAAATACAGGTCAATAAAAAGAGCTGTCATTGATTGAATGAAATCCTTAAGTAAAGTAAGCAGGAGGGAATCATGAAATAATTGAAAATTATTAAGAGTAGAACTTTCTGAAACTCATTAAAATAACTCTGAAGAGAATTGAATTTCTGCATTTTGTAGCAAACAAGACTGCTTGACTTGCAATAAAAGTGTCTTCTCCCTTTTAATTTAATCTTATGGTAGTGAAACAATTTTTGAGAGAGGTAGATTTATCAGCATAAATCACTTAATGCTGTACATGGATATTAATGTGATTTGTATTAGTATACATAAAATAATTGTTTACGATCAAGAATATGAATGAACTTAATTTTTAGTCAGTGTTTCTGATAGTTGATATATTTGTGACTTGGATTGTATCTGAAAGTGCACATAGGTGAAAATATTGCCTAAGCAGCCCAAGAAACATTACTTTCTCATGAGATTATAAGTTTAGAATTAGAAACACCTCAGAGGTCATTATATTTCCTTTTATACATGAAGAAACCGAGGCCCCAAAAATCACTTAGCAAATAGTAAATTCTTTTAAAGATGTTTATTTGTACCTTAAAAAGAGTAGAAGAGTTCTTTGAGAATTTTGGGTGGTGGCTAATTATTATTGTTATTTTGATAATTATTACACTAATCACAATAAAGGTAATAATGCAGCGTTGTGGAGCAGTGAATCAGGGGCTGGCTTTGGAATCAGAAGGTCCTGGGTTTAGTGTCTGCCTTTTATAGTACTGGTTCTGTGACTTTAGGCAAGTCATTTAATTTCTCAGTGCCCCAGGCAACTGTCTATTTCCATGCTATAGATGAAGTAATGGAAGTTCAGACGTGGTTCTTCACACATCTCCTGCCTTTTCCTGGAGATGGTGTGACATTTTAATGCTCTAGTTAAGAACTAGGCCAATTTGGAAATTAAAAGTGATCACTAGGTACAGTATGACAGAATTATCTAGCCAAGTCCTGGGCAGAGGACTACAGTCTGAAAAAATGACTGCCCACAGTAACCACTATTCTACTTTAGGTCTTATTTTAGAAATTATTTAACAGTTCTTGTCTCTGTCTTGTTCTTGATTTCTCCACTTTTGAGAAACCCCAGATTTATTTTAACTAGGTCTGTTCATTTGTATTATGCATGTATGATCAGCTTATGTTTCTTTTGAGAAAAGTTTCTTCATCTTCCATATTATATTAAAAAATCAAATTGTGCTTTATGCTACACCATGAATGTAAGAAGGAGTACATGGATAGTGGTAATTTGTAAAGTACTTTGTAGAGTACTACAGAAATTTTGTGCAATGATAGTAAACTAGTAGACATGTTTCATGGAGCTCTTAATATGACTACTTGTTATTGAACTGTATAATAAGAGTTCATGTATTGAAAGTCTTTTTAAAAAAATTTACTTATTTTTAATTTTTAACAATTTTGAGTTCCAAATTTTCTCCCTATTTCTCCCCTCCCCCTACCCCAGGATGGTGTGCAATTTGATGTAGGCTTTACATATACGTTCATATTGAACCTGTTTTCACATTAGTCATGTTGTAAAGCAGAATTAGAACCAATGGGAGAAACCACAAGAAAGAAGAAACAAACAAAAAGAAAAAAGAAAAAAAGCACAAATAATATGCATTGATTTGCATTCAGACTCCATAGTTCTTTTTCTGGATGTGGGCAACATTTTCCATCATGAGTACTTTGGAGTTGTCTTTGGTCCTTGTATTGCTGAGAAGAGATGAGTCTATCAAAGTGAGTTATCGCACATTGTAGCTGTTACTGTGTACCGTACTCTCCTGGTTTTGCTCATTTCACTCAGCATCAGACCATATAAGTCTTTCCAGGTTTTTCTGGTCTGCCTGCTCATCATTTCTTATAGCACAATAGTATTCTGTTACATTCATATACCACAACTTGTTCAGCCATTTCCCCACTGATGGGCATCCCCTCAATTTCCAATTCTTTGCCAATGTATTGAAAGTCTTAATGAGATTTCAGCCTCTAAACTTTTTTTTTATCAACATGATAGCTTACTTGCTGTGCCTTGTTAATGTATGGTGCTCAGAAGTCCGTTTGTTGAATGTTCATTTGACTTAGATTTGCCTTGGGCTTATTTCAGAAATAAAATAAAACTGTATTTCAAACATTACTACAGTCGGTTTTAATGGCATACGTATCTTTATCTTCTGCTAACGATTTGCCCTCTTAGAGCCAATTCTTTTCTAAAGCTCTACTATTTATGAAGGAAAAAAGTATAATAACTCCAGGGTGTGAGCCAGGGGATTCTCCATTTCTGTCCTGTTGAGTTTCCTGTTACTATTAATATGTAACTAACCCAATGTCTGGTGCCCAATCTTCAGCACCAAAAAACCACATGCAGATATACACTGATTCTAGTGCTTGTGAATTCTGCCGTTCCCAGGCATAGCTTACAGGCATTGTGTGCCATTTTATACTTGGGGCTTGTCTTTGATTAAGGTCTGTTTTTGAGACAAGAATGAATATGAGTCTTTATGGACCTTTCTAGTCTGTTCGTGATAAAACTGAACCCCTTTCTTTTTCAGGTGATCCATGCTTGGCTTATAATTTCTTCTCTCTTGTTGCTGTTCTTTTTCTCATTCATTTATCTGGGGTAAGTACCTAGAAGCCTAAATACTTTTCAGAAATTTCCTGTCTGCTCTTGCAGAATTTATGTAGGCCCATCTGCATTGTTTTGCAATTACACTTGAGTTATGATCATATCCAAATCAAGGGAGTCCTTATAAGGCGTAACAAACAAGTTCAAAATATGGATAGGATTGTTTATAGCTGTGTTCCTAGGGGGCTGTTCCTTCCTTGCTGACTGTTTTCTGCATCTTATTTGAATGGACACACTGATGCAATCTTAGGTTCTGCTAGCTTGGTTGTATTATTTTAAAATGTTTATTAAAGTGTTAGCTTGGGGCAGCTAGGTGGTATAGTGGAGAGAGCTCTGGCCTTGGCATCAGGAGGACCTGAGTTCAGATCCAGCCTCAGACACTTGACACTTACTAGCTGTGTGACCCTGGGCAAGTCACTTAACCCTGATTGCCTCACCAAAAAAAAAAAAGAGAGAGAGAAAAAAAACAACCCTAGTATCTTAATTTGACTGTTCTATAATGGATTACTCTTTCTTTTCCAAATTTGTTATGCTCTTCGAATTCACTCAAAAATTGGAAGGCTGGATGATCTTTGCTATTGTAACAGGCTACCTGGGCAGCCCCAACAATAGTTTGTGTTATAGGGAAGTAGACTAAAGGCTGTTTGGGTTATAGATCCCAAGATGTGATTAGCTTCAAACTACCCAGGAAATTTTTAGAGAGAAGGGGTGAAAATGTGAGTTCTTAGCAGTCTCTTTCCCATTTATTACTTTATGTGTGTAGATGCTGTACTACGTACTTTAAGAGATAAAAATGGCTGGACTTGGTGGTGCATGTCTGTAATCCTTGCTACCAAAGAGGCTAAGGCTGGCAGTTGTTGTGAACTCAAGAGTCCAAGCTAGAGTGGGCTAAGCTGGTTGGGTATCTACCCTAAGTTTATTATTAAGGTGGTGAGCCCCTGGAAGCAGGAGAAGCCAGCAGCTTAGCAAAAGATGGCAAACTAGCCTAGAGGAGGTCACAGCTCCAACACTAATTGGAATGGTTCCACCTATGAGTTGCCCCTGTGTCTCCAGCCTGGGTAAGATAAGGAGACTCAATCTTCAAAACTAAATAAACAAAAAACTCCCAAATGGTACCTTGCCTCAAGGAGCCAGGTTTTGAGGTAGAGTTTTTCCTTTCCGTCCCTTTTGGGAATTAATGTAATGCTTCAATAGAACCCAAGAATGACATTACATTTAGTCACCCCTCTCCTGACATGACTGACATTGTGATTGCTGATCGTTCTACTGATAACCTCAGGTAACTGAAAGGGCAAGAAATAAAGTTCTTGGAAAATAGGTTTTCACATGATTGCCAGCATGCAGCTCAAACACATTATGTTAATATCTAGTGCTATAGCTGATTGCTAGGTATAAAACTAACAGGCAAATAAATGAATATCAGAGTAGGAGATTGAGCTTTGTCTCTCTTTCCTTGCCTTTTTTATCATTTCATCACAGATTTGACAAAAGGTAAGCTAAACTTAGAGTGTGAAGTGCTTTTAATGAACTCTAATGTAGCTTGGAGGAATTTTCTGCTAGAAAGTTACTACCCTAGTGAAACGTGTAAGCAGTGTGGTAGAATGAGAAGAGTACAGGCTTGGGAGTTGGGAAGTCTTGGGATCACCTCCTGCCTTTGGCACAGAATCATTTGGTGACAAATTTATGTAGACATATCACTTGATCTCTTGATACTCTGGACAACTAAGAGTATAATTGCATACGTGTTGCCAACCTGTATGATGGAGGCAGTTTTCACAGTGGGATGATCCAACACTGATGAAATCACAGGTCTGGATTTTTAAAAATAGTGCAGCTGTAAGTGATCTTTTAGGTCTGATCTCGTAATGTTATGCTTTACCTCTAGGAAGTGGTTGTATTTTGTTTTCTTTAATTATTCAGTACATCTTTGTTCTAGCCCCTTTGTTTTTAACTCTGCTTTTCAGTGAAGTATTTAAAACCTACAATGTTGCCATGGACTATATCACTCTGGCACTCGTGATCTGGAATTTTGGCGTGGTAGGAATGATTTGCATCCACTGGAAAGGCCCTCTTCGGCTCCAGCAGGCTTATCTTATTATGATCAGTGCCCTCATGGCTCTGGTATTCATAAAGTACCTTCCTGAATGGACTGCATGGCTCATTTTGGCTGTCATTTCAATATATGGTAAAGTTTTATAAAAACATACTGCTCCTGTAATTATGATGGTTCTGCTTTGATTTGTTCTATCCTTCTTCTGTTTTATAATTTTGATTTAGGGACAAAAATGACACACTGTGACCATGGGCCCATCACTTAACTTCTCTGAGCCCCAGGTATCTCTCTAAGACTTATCTACTAAGTTATAATCAGATTTCAGCCTGCTTCAGCTGCTGATGAAATCATAATTTCTTGCCCTATTAACTTTATGCCATGATTATTCAGTAAATATTAATTTTCTTTAATATTATTGGTGATGAAAACTCAGTTCACATGCTAGATGTAAAACCTAGAGATTGAGAGAATGCAAATTGTTGTGCCATATCTAGACCATAATGTTGCCAACCCTGAAAGTGAAAGCCTTTATAGTATGTAAAAGATTTTTAAATCTTTATAAGAAAGGTTCTATAGAAATACTATTTTATCATTTTGGCAAGTTTAACCCAAATGCTATTTAACAGAATATGCTGTTCTGATATTACTCTACATTGTTTCTTTTTAAAAGAAGACTTCATTTAGGCAAGAAAGATGCTCACTTCAACAATGCTCCTCTTTCTAACCACATGAACGTGGCATATATTTTATGATAACACAGTACCTTTCCCATTTACTGTTCCAGTGCTGATCACTTATGTACCACTCATATCACAGTACCACCCCCATTTTATTATGAAAGAATTTGGTTATTCCAAATTACATTATTCTTGCACTGAGACACAGGATAGATTTGCAGAAATGGAATTGGACTTGAAAGTAAGATCTGTCATTTTCATCCTCATATTTAAGGCATCTTTGGTATAGTTGGGAAGTCTTACACTCCCTTTGCCTTCCTACTTTGCTGTGGCAATGTTATCCTTTGCAATTTATCTTCCTCTTTGGTGTGCTGGGGAAACTGATAGACATCTGTGAAGTGCTTTGAGCTTCTGAAAAAAAAAAGATACTTATGGATTAGAGCGGGGCTTCTCAGCCCTGCTTTTGTTTTTAAACAAAAGTCAGCACAAAGAATGTCAAGAAATTCTCAAATTCTTAAACTAACACTAATTTTAGTATAGTTTGATTTGAAAAATAAAAGTCATCACTCACCTGGTAGTACATCTCCATAGAAAGCTAGAAAGGGCTGCTTTTTGGAGTGGGACAAACCTCTTTTCCTTTATCAAATAATAAATTGTGCTGAAAATGGGAAAGTGTGGGTTTTTTGTTTTTCCTGCCTAAGGAGTTAGCTGATTCTCCAGAGCCCAAGATCTCTTAATATGTTTTCCATCCCTCCTCTAGATATTTTGAACTTTATTTTAAAAAATTATTATTTAGCATAAATTTTCATTCTCTGAATTTTGAATTACATTGAGGAAATATAGAGAATAGTATAATGGTTTGGAATGAATTATGAAAATTTTGCTCCTTACTGTTGTTTTAGGGTTCGTTTTTTTCTTTTTTGGTGAGGCAGTTGGAGTTAAGTGACTTGTCCACAGTCACACAGCTAATGCGTGTTATGTGTCTGAGGCTGGATTTGAACTCAGGTCCTGTTGACTCTAGGACCAGTGCTGTATCCACTGCACCACCTATTGCCACCCCCTTTTTTTTTCATTTTTTTTTGGTGAGGCATCCATAAAAATTTATTATTATTTGACATTGGTCTCACATACTTTTTATGAGAACCTCATTCTGTTGAGGGTGTGTCAGTTGACTATCCTGTTATCCCACTTGACATCTTTACCTCCCAGACATAACTTCCTTCCTTGGCCAGAACCTCCATCTCTGTGTGATCTCCCCCATCAGAATGTAAACTTCTTGAGCTTACTGTCTCCCATTTTGTATTTGTGTCCCCAGCACTTACCACAGTGCTTGAGGCACAGATCAAGTGTTTAATCAATGCTTTAATTTATTCACTAAAGTCTTTTATGTTCTACTGATCAGCTAGCTATAGAAATAATAATTCTTCATTATATGCAGTTTCTCTAATTTCAAGATCCTTAAGTTCATAAATAATATTAGAAAAAAATGAATAAGGACTAATCTACTTTATTCTGTTCTTCACAATCAAAACCCTTCTCATTAGACTTTAAAGGACATAAATCCCATATTTACAGCTTATATGTTTGATTTTTTTTTGTGAGAAACAGCTTGGTGGCCTGTTTCTATTTATAGCACATTGACAGTTTTTGGAGAATGGATTCATCTTGTTATCGCTATCTTTTTCTTACAAGATGGGAACGTTCATTCGTAGAACCCAGCTGATTCGGCAGGAAGTCAGCCCCCAGACAACACTTATAGACACTCTATTATTGATTGTTTATTTGGGGGTCGTTTTTACCTTTGACCTTCACATCCTATTAAGAGACACTAAGATATCTTAACCAAGGTTTTCCCCTCTCCCCACAACCTACCCCAAATCATAGCCAGTGTGATTCATGGTATTTTTTTTTCTGTTTTTTTTTTTCTTTTTTCCAGATTTGGTAGCGGTTTTGTGTCCAAAAGGTCCACTACGTATGCTCGTTGAAACAGCTCAGGAAAGAAATGAAACTCTCTTCCCGGCTCTTATTTACTCCTGTAAGTATTTTGCAAAGACTTTTGAGTTAGTAATCACTTGTTTAACCATTGAGAGACCAAAGAAATCCAGTTATAATCATCACAATGATCTCTTCGACTTTAACTTATAATTTTGTTTGCTTACCCCTTTGTTTTTTGCACAGTTAGGTCCTTGACCTAATGGTGATTTATTTAGGAGATGGCATAGAAAGAGTACTGGATTTGTGGGCATGAGATGTGGGCTTTATTACTTACTATCTGTGTGACCTTGGGTGAGTCGGGTCACTGCTCTGTGACTCAGTTTCCTCATTTGTAAAATCGGAAATTGGATTAGATCATCTGATCACCAGTCTTAAGATTATGGACTTAAATCTGGGAAGGAGTGTAGTTCAGTTGAATTTAGGCTTTATATTGTAGTCATTGAATTTTTTTAAAGCATGAAAATAAATATGGTCAGAGGAATATCCTGTAAAAGGATTACTCTGGCAATATGTATAGGCTTAGGTTTGAGTCAGATCCAGAACTAGTACAATGCAACTAGGGCTATTGTTGTTTATCCTTTGTACTCAAAGAGGACGGTGACGTCAGGAAGGTGATGTCATGACTTGCAAGTGAATCGAATTTAAATGAGGCAGGGCTGTGCAGAGTCACCAGCCTCACTCACTTCTCCGAAGCCATCTAGATCCAGTGGCAAGATATAGATCAGGATGACTGGAGATGGCCCTGGATGCAGTGGCAGACCTTGGTCTTTTTAAGTTAAGGTCTTTCCCAGGTCTCAGTTTATCTGAGGCAACACCCATTCAGTGATTTAAAGCTCGGTAAGAAATGAGGCAAAAGATAGCTTAGTTTATTACAATAATCCACGTGAGAGGTGATGGGTGATGAGAGGCTGGCTGTGTGAATGGAAAGGAAGAGTAATAAATGATGGAATTTGTGGAGACAGAAAAAGATTTTGCAACCAGGTTAATAACTCTCATGCCACAGCTCCAAGAGACACAGTTCTTTCTTCCTGGGCAGAGGTTGTGCTTCCCATCCCTCTTTGGTGGTGCCAGCTTTATCCTTTGCCACCTCTTCCTCTTGTGCTGTGGTTTCCCCTTTCCCCTTCCTCCAGCATCCCATGACCATTAGCCTTGTCTCTTGGGGTGTATTTTTGCTGGCATGGAGAGAATTCCTTCTCCCCCCCTCCATCCCATGAGCTACTCTTCCTTCTTACCTCATTCAGTCAGTCAGCAAACATTTATTTAGCACTTAGTATATACCATACACTGTGCTAAGAACTGGGGGTACAAAGAAAGGCAGAAATATGGCCCATTCCCTCAAGGAGCTCCCATTGTAATGAGGGAGACAATATGTAAACAACCATGTACAGACAAAATACGTAAGGTGTAAATGGGAGGTAATCTTGAAGAGAAAGCATGATCACGGAAGAAGGAGACTGGGAAAGGCCTCCTGTAGAGGGTAAGATTTGTATTGAGTCTTTTTCTTTTTCTTTTTCTTTTTTTTTTTGGTGAGGCAGTCAGGGTTAAGTGACTTGCCCAGGGTCACAGAGCTAGTAAGTGTCAAGTGTCTGAGTCTGAATTTGAACTCAGGTCCTCCTGAGTGCTCTCTCCACTGTGCTACCTAATTGCCCCCATACTGAGTCTTGAAGAACGTCTGCTCCATGAGAGACAGTGCAGAATCCTTCACAAAGGCAAGTTATTGCTTGCCCAGTGACCTTCTCCTAGCTGATAATAATCTCAGCCCTGGCCTTCCCTCAAGCCACTAGCCTTCTCTGTCCTCTCTTTTGTGCTCCCAGGAACCTTCTGTTGTGGTCCAGTGAATAGATCATTGGATTTAGAGTCAGAAGACCTGAATTTGAACTCTTACTCTGCTACTTTACTAGTTGTGTGACCTGAAGGTAACATGTATTTCGTTTTTCCTCACTGGCCTTCAGTTTCTGCATCCATAAAATGAGGAAATTGGATTAGATGGCCTCCCAGGTCCCTTTTAGCTCTAAATATATCGTCCTGAATTTCGTCCTTTCATTTCATCCTTTGTTGAAGTGGGCATCTTTCTTGCTTGAATGAGGTTTTCTTTAAAAAAGAAACAGTGCTACATAAGCTACTTTATAAAAAGTTGGTAGTATAGTGATGTGATATATGAGTATGTATATATGCTTTTCTGATGTTACTCTACTACTAACATCACACCCCCTAATAGTGAGGACCAAAAAAGGGAATTGTCATACTCCTTGGTGTTTGGTTACCACTTTTAGACCCACCAACACTTAGCATCAACTTCTCCTTATAGAGTCACTCTGTCCTGTATGGGTATTTGTTACTGTCATCTGTCCACCTCCAAGCCATGCTTTCTTTCCCAATAAGGTCAGTCCTTGACTTACAGTCTTCTTTGACCTAGCTTACCTCCTTGGAGTAACCTAGCTTCCACCACCTCATACTGTCTTATAGGAGTGGTCAGATGTTAGGTCTTCTCTCAGACACTGCCTCTCCCTACTCCCACCATCCTCAGTGTAACTTATTTGCTCCAAATGCCACAATTCGTAGATATATAGCAACAGTTGGAGGTAAAGAGAGGCTGGAGACATATGGAACTGTTGTAATAATCCCCATCAGGGGAGACAAGGACCTAAACAAAAGCAGCAGCAATGAGAAAGGGGAGAAGCAGGGGACTGCCAGTGATGGTGGACGTTGAGTCAACCAGGTTTAACAGATATAGGGATTTGAGAAGCAGGAGGAGTCAAGGAAACCACTGATGGTCTGAGCCTGAATGATCAGGAGACTAGTAGTGCCATTAACAGAACTAGGGAGAGGAACTGGTTCAGGAGGAGTAGATTAGAAATTCAGTACTGGAAATCATGGGTTTTCGAGGGCCAAGAAAATGTCTGGCAGGCATTTGGAAATGCAAGACTGAAAGTCAGGGTAGGCCTGATGATGGAAATTTAGGAATCGTTTTTATAAGGACTATAATTGAAGTTGTGGGAGTTAATGAGTTCACCATAGAGAAGAGGACTGAGGATAAAAGCTGAGAGAGTGGGATATGGAAGAAAAGTCATCAAAGGAGACGAATTATCCAGAGGTAGGATGATTGAGATGATAATGAGTATCATAGAAACCCAGTGAGGGAGTGTATTTGAGGAACGAGGTAAAGGATGAACTCAATAAGATGTTACAGAAAAGTCAGGAAGGATAAGAACTAACGAGAGACCATTGAATTGGTAGTTCGGAAGGTTCAGGGGTGTAGAACGAAGCACATATTACAAGCAGTTAAGCGATCAGTGGATGGAAGTAAAGAACGGGTATAGATTTTGCCTTTCAGGAAATTTGGCAGTGAAGGGAAGGAGAGGGTTGTAATGACAGCTGGAAGGGGCGACACGCTTGAGAGGAAGGTCTGTACTTAGTGTGGGTGAGACTTGAGTATGTTACATTTGTGGGCAAAAGGAGAGGATTCATTAGAGAGGAAATTATTGAAAATACCAGACGAAGTAGGGATAGTTTAATGGAGCAGGGCCCTAGAGGAGGCAAGTGGAGAGTGAATCTTTGGCTCACCAGATGAAGAAATTACTCCTGAAAAGGAAGAAGGTTACTTCTTCCTCAGGAGGAGAGAAAAGAAAGATAGGTGAGGTAGAAATAATTTTTGAAGTGTGAGAGGTGGGATGCTGAGGGAACTTACATTCCATTGCTATTAATCAGTTTGGAATTGAGATCATTTGAAAACACATGGAGTTGCATTAGGGGCTTGAGTGGCAAAGATTTAGGACCACCATTATGGGGAATGCAAAATTTGTCTTTTGCTTTTGAATCATGTACTTTCTGTTAAGGGTATGCTTATTTTCATTTTTACAGGAAAAGGCTGATTCTAGGGGCAAATGATTATATTTCTGCTAGGATGTGAACCTCACTTAGGATATTTTTAGGCATTAAAATAAATCATACACAAACATGAATTTTTAGTTTGTTTCAAATCTGTGAAAAGATATCAGGATAATACTGACATGTTGAAACAACCTTAATGTATTTGAAAAAATTTGAACAGAAAATTTCACCTTGTCAGGCATGTTTGAACATGTTTTAAAAAAAAAAAGCCTTTTTTCTCTTAGACTGCCAGATCTGTATCACATGGCAATTTTACAAACCATTGGGGGTCAGATTTTTTTTCTGACAGAATGTAAGAAGACAACAGTATTGATTAACACTTTTCATTGATGTTAATAAACATTCATCCAAAAGTGTATTAATTCATTTCGTTATTTGTTAGCTGCTTTAAAAAATAGCCACTTTGGACTTTTCAGGGGTCACTGAAGTAATAAGTAACAAAGTCAGGATTTAAACTTGGGCTTTCTGGCAACAAAGACATTACACTTTCCCAGCATGCCGCAATGCTATTCCTGTGCTGCACCATCACTTTATTTGATTCCTGGAGATTGACATCCCATCCCTCCAAATGAATGAACAGCTTTTGAAACTCCAAAACAAAATCACTTTTGTGAGCTTTTGATTTGCTTGTTTCATAGTGACCTGCTCTGTTAATCAATGAATAAGATTTTTAAAAAAGTGCTGTCTGGGTGCCAGGCACTGTGTAAGATGGTGGGATCAAAGACATAAATGAAATAGTCCTGGCCCTAAAGGAGTTTATATTCTACAGGAGAGAAACAACATATACATATATGTAAACTACAACATATACAAAATGAGTAAAATATAATTGGAGGTCGAAGAAGGGGTGCTAGCATATGGGGGTGATTAGGAAAAGACGCATAAAGGAGGTAGTTTGAGCTGAGTTTTGAAGGAAACTAGAGATTGTAAGAGCTGGACATGAGGAAAAGTGCATTCTAAGCATGAGGGAGAGCCTGTGCAAAGGCACAGAAAGGGAAAGGAAGAAGCATCTGTTCAGTGCTTACTAAGTGCCAGGCACTGCACTAAGTAGGCACTTTATGAATGTCTCGTTTGATCCTCACAACAACCCTGGGAGAGGTAAGGTGCTGTCATTGTCCTCATTTTATGGTTGAGGACACGGAGACAGACAGGGGTTGTGACTTAGCCACGATCACAGATTTAGTAAGCATTTGAGTTTGTATTTGAGCTCAAGTCTTCCTGACTCTAGGTCCAGTACTGCATCTGCTGTGCCACCTCACTGCCTCAGCTTGTCAATCTGGCTGATCTAGATTGGAAAGGGCAGCTGAAACCAGATTGGGAAAGGTGTTTAAGTGCCAAAAGAGTTTGTATCTTTTTCTAGACGAAATAGCCAATGGAGTGTGAGTAGGAAGAGTATCATACTAGAAAAAAAAGACTCCAAAAGGGTGTATTCTTATATATTGGTAATAGAAGTATATTCCCGTCCATAATACACATGAAAATGTTGAGAAAGTCTTACGAATCTCAAATGCCTTTGTCAGATCTAGAGAAATTTATATACTTCTGAGCATAGTAATTTTTGTTTTCCTTTCCATTCTCCCTCTTTTGAGCCACTTCTTGTCTGCTTTATTGTTATTCTTTTTAATTATCTTGTTATTCTGCCCTTTGGTCAGTAACTTTCTGGGTTGTTTTATGATGCCACCAGGGTGTTTAGCTGGCTCATATTCATCTGTTAAACATACTGTAACTGCCTGTGGTGTGCAGAGAATTGTACTAGTTGTTGGGGTAGAGAGTTTAGCTAAGGCATGATACTTGCCTTGATAAAAGGTTATAGTCTAGTGGGGAGTAGAGTATGGCATACAAAATAACTATAATGCGATGTTATAATATTAATTTAATAAGAGGTAGGAACATCAGAGAACGATAAGCAAAATACTGGCTTCAGTTGTCAGCTTTCTTTGATAACTTTTTTCAAGAAACGTACTGTTTTTTTAAATGGTTATTACGAGTAGTGTAGAGAGGTCATGTTGCGTAGTAGATAAGAAAGCTGGCCTTGGGGTCAGGAAGACCTGGGTTTGCATCCCACCTCTGACACTGGCTGTGGGAGATAAGGCAAATCTCTTCTCTGTGCTCCAAAACATTCTGAGACAATAATTAGAGAGCAGGGGTCTCTCCACTAAGAGGGTCCTGCACCAGTGGAATTCTGGATCTGATCCCCTCAAAAAGTACATGTGGAATCTGAATCACGTGCCTTCCATCTTAAAGTACCAGACACAGCTCTCGGGGAGCTTTGTTTAAAGCCCCTGACTGTCTGAGGGAAGAGGCAGATTGCTGCTGGTGCTCACTTCCTAGCTGTAGTGGTGCATGCCTTGGAGGAGGAAGAGGAATTCACTGTATTTATAATCATTGTACCCATAGCAAATTATTTTTCTAATTACTTTTTATATATGTTTATGTTATATTTAATAATAGTAGCTGGTATTTTTGAAATAACTTTAAGGTAGATGTTTTTCTTACGATTGGTTAGCAACATATGCTTTTTAGTGGTAATGACTTTGCGCTGATCCATATGAGGTGAAATGATCTTGATCAGATCATCTTACTTTCTTGGTCTCAAAATAAGAAGAATAAACTAGATGATCTGTAAGGTCCCTTTTGGCTCTAGTATTTTATTTTTTTGTCTGATTTCCACACATTTGTGAGGTAACTTGTCGGATGTGGTTAAAGATGCAATTTGGAACAGCCATGGAACAGACTAAAGCCAACTGAGTAACAAGAATCAGACCCATAATCATATTTTTATCACTCCCATTTAACAGCAGATATAACAGCCACTGACCTTTCTGTAGCTATCAAGTTATGTACAGAGAATAGAAAAGGATCAAAATGAGAAGATAACTACATTCCAGTGGTTGAGGGTTTAAAATTTTCAGAAATATCAAACTGAGGGGCAGCTAGGTGGTGCAGTGGATAGAGCATCAGTCTTGGATTCAGGAGGACCTGAGTTCAAATCCAGCCTCAGGCACATAACACCAGCTATGTGACCCTGGGCAAGTCACTTAACCCCAATTGCCTATCCTAAAAAAAAAAATCAAACTGAAAATTTGGTTATGACTCAATGGTACTGGCTGTAAAAACCTGGAACCATTCTATAAAATCATTCAGAGGATTTTAGAGTTGAAAGGGACTTTGGAATTCATTGTCAACACCTTCATTTTATAGATAATGAAACCCAGACCCTTGGAGATAAAGTGATTAACCCAAGGTTGTGTGTGATTTCCATGAACAAAAACATGGGGTTGTTATATTAAAATTTTATTTGGGACCAAGAAGATGACAATTTGCTCTTCTCTAAATGGTATTTTAACTATTTTAACCTAATACTTTATGTACATTGCTTTTAACCCTCTCCCCTTCTTTTTTTTTTTAACTTTGTCCACGACACAGTTTGGCATTGTTAAAGAAGCTTGGCATTACATGGAATATAAAGGAAACTTACAGTGTAAATTTCTTCTGTAATGCTTTTCATCAGCTTAGGCTTTTGTGAAACTAGTTTTCCCTTGAAGTGTAATTCCCAAGAGTCCACTTGCCAATGAGTTAAAACTATTTTAGGGCCAGTCAGCGAGTCCAACTAGTTGCAGTTCTGTAGTTTTCTTGGTAATTTTCAGAGAATTCAGACATGATAAAACAACATTTTTAAATGCCATTTGAATGCCACAACAAAATGTTTAATGTCAGAGACTTATTTCTGTGCCTGACTGAAGAGAACTTTTTTCCGCTTTTAAAAAGTCTCCACCCATAGTTTCTTAAGTATTTCCTAAAGAGATTTTGGAGGTGATTTGATGAAAGAAAATTGGTGATTTCAGTAGCAAAATGGTGCCTTGATGTCTGCTCATGTCTTCTTTGTTTGAAATGTTTACCTAGACTTTCATCTTTTTCCAACAGCAACAATGGTGTGGTTGGTGAACATGGCAGAAGGAGACCCAGAAGCCCAAAGGAGAGTTTCCAAAAATTCTAACTACAACGCACAAAGTAGGAGAGACTTTTGTTTACATATTCATTTTTTTCTAGCTTTTCTAGCTTTCTACATATACTGTCATCTTATGGCAGAACAGTATGCCAGTATCGGGAAAAATTGAAGTGAGATATGTGGCCACAAAGTTTTTAAAGACCTACTTTTTTAAAGTGTCAAAAAAGAAGTATACCAGGAAAGAGAGATAATAGCTCAGGGAAATTCTTTGGGGATAATCTTAGGAAATTCTAAGTCATGTTTCAAGTGACTGGAAAGAGCATTTCTCATCTGGAGCTCACATCTATTTGGATCTTAAGTCTTTGTTTCTTAGTAAACAAGATTGCTAAAGAGAGAGTCCTGACATTGAGCTAGAGTTAAGAAGAGTGGAAGTGATACTTACAGTAATTTTCCTGTATATACCCTGAGATCTTTTTATCAGTCATTTTTTTAGTTGTGTCCAACTCTTTGTGACCCCATTTGGGGTTTTCTTGGCAAAGATACTGGAGAGGTTTGCCATTTCCTTCTCCAGCTCATTTTACAAGTGAGGAAAATGAAGCATACAGGTTTAAGTGACTTGCCCAGGGTCACACAACTAGATTGAAATAAATGGGGGACCAAATTTTTGGAGGAATCTTGGATTCTGTCTTATTATAAAATTGATTATTATTTCTTTTGACTTTTACTTGTATTTCTACCATCAGGAAGGAAATACATCTTATTTATACTGAATATTAAATAGTGCATATTGGAGATTTTCATGGTTACATTTCAGCAGCATTTTCCCCAGTATAGACATTTTCTGGATCAGATAAAGAGAAGTGGTGTAATGCTTAGATATAAGGATAAGAATTATCTAATAAGAGTAGAGAAGGGGAAAAATTCTTTTCTTTATCAGGTAAAATCCAGCACAAAACTGTAAAAATAGATATCTTCTAGAATATCTACCATGTAGTTATTTTTAATCACTTTGACCTATATAGACAGTTCCAAACACTATAATGTGATAGACATATTTCAGAAATATGTTATCAAATAACCACTAAACTAGCTTTGACAATAAATAGATTAGCGCCCATAAATAACTCTGATTCATCCTTCCATCCAGAGATGTGCACACTTATAAAAAGTATTTAAAATCAGCTTTTACAGTTACTTGGCTCCCATAAAACATTTTCCACGATGGGCCAATGACTATTTTCAAACCTGCCCTAATCATTCTATGGGTCCAGATTGACAAAGAGCAGAGCAACTTAAGAGAGACGAAATAGGCAGCAAAGAAGGGTAAGAGGGTACCATGCCAGTTGCCTTAGGCCACTTGTATGCAGTTCTGGAAGCTTTGGTTTTCTTTTTATTCTCCTCTTTTCCTGTCTCTGTGGCCATGGCTTCAATTAAGTTTACTGGCATCACTGATAAAAGTGGCAAAGAAGTTCTCTTTTTTAAATTATCCCATGTAAATCTCATTATCCCATGACAGTCTCACTTTAATATATAGAGTTTAATAAAAGTGGCAGGATATTGATTATTCATTGTCATTCATTTATGTACAACGCATAGTAACTGGGGACGATAAAGAGATATCTGTGCTCTCTGCCCTCATGAAATTCATAATTTAGTCTAGTCTAGCCTTTATTTGCATTTTCTTCTTAAGATAACAATGCCTCTTGGATTCATGGATTTACATAATCTCTAAGTCAGGTTCCAGTCAGGTCAGCTTCATCTGTATAGAAAGAAACTTGAACCAGAAGTGTGTTGATAAATGTTAATAGGAAAACATTTGTATTTATTTACAAGTTGTGTTTTAAAAGTGATAAGACGCAGTCTTCTTGTACTGTAGCATACCTACGCTTAGGTGCCAATTTATAACAAAAGTTGACGACTCTTACGAAGTAGTCGCCTTCACCAACCTGAGGACGTGTCATGTGTATAATCTTTGCTGCTGTTTTTTCCAAAGCCCCAGTAAACCAGAACTCTAGCAGTGTTACTGACGATGATGGCGGTTTCAACGAAGAGTGGGAAGCTCAAAGGGATCGTAATCTGGGGCACCACCATTCCACACCGGCATCCAGAGCTGCTGTGCAGGAGCTTCCTGGAGGAGCTTCCCATGTACATGAGGATCCTGAGGAAAGTATGTATCTGCTCCCTTAATTGGAGAAGCTGTAAGTCTCAAATGGGACACTTGTCAGTACCACCAAAGACATCATTGAATTAGGAATAATGAAATAGCAGCCTAGATATTGGGCATATTTTTCAGAAAGTAAATCTAAAGAGACCTGGCCAGTGAAACAGGCTATTTCTGAATGATGATAGTTAACAGTTAAGTAAGTGACTATAATGTTAATAATAGTTATTATTATTAGCCTATAATAACACCTTAGTGTTTTTCACATTGCTGTTTTGATAAATTAGCCAAACTCTGTCCTTCATTCTCAGATGCTTGTTAAATTAGTTTTTCTGAATCTGGTGTTACTTAACATTTTTTTAAGAAGAGATGGGGAAGTTTGGCTGTTCATCTTTTTTGTTGAATGTTGTAGTTGCAATTTGTTTATTGATATATTTCTTACTTGTCATTGAAAATCTTCTGTGTTTCAGAAGTCTTTTGATTTGTATCAGTGTTTAGTATTTTTATGTCCTTTAGAAGTTATTCTGCTAGTTTTGAGGAAAAGAAAAGGAATTTATAATGTCAGAAATGCAAATAGCCAGGTATAAGATTATCATCACTTTGTAAGGTTAAGTTTCAAGCTCAGCCTCCAAGACACTTTCTCTCCTGTTTGATACTGTTACTGGTATTTAAATCTAGGCAGTCACCAGAGTCAGTTCAGCAATTGTTAAGTACTTGCTACGTGCAACTAGGCACTCGGGCTACAAAAATGAAAAACAGTCTTTGCCCTCCAGGAGGAGAGAGAAACATGTACACAGATAAGTAAATGTAAAATATATACAAAGCATTTAAGATATAATATTAAAAATAATAAAATAAAACGTAGAGAGAGTATCCTTGCTGGGAGTGAAGTGGCAAGTATTACGTACTCTGTCCATTTCTTTGGTCATTCCATATTTCTTCTTTAAAAAATTCCATTTTGTTAACTGCTTTTTGTCTTTATGTTACTGTCATTTCTGGAAGAAAATAAAACCCTCCCCTGACTCACTAGACTGAACCTCCTGTGTAATGAGGAAAAAATTAAGGTAAAATATCCAGTACCATCATGACCAGATCTAATACATATGTAGTGTTCTCCCCTAGTAAACTGTCCCTCTGCTGTGAAGAAAGAAGTATATTTCATTTTTGGTTCCCCAGGACCTCATTAGTTTTTCGGTTACCCAGAGGTCATCTTTTAGTAATATTTCATCGACTTTGTTGTAGTCATTTTGTTCATATAAATCTTGTTTCTCTAAATTCCTCATTGTCCTCATTTTTTATGGCACAGTAACACTATTGCATTAACATATCATAATTCTGTCAGCTGTTCTCCAATCTGTACATTGTTTCCAGTTCTTTACTACCACAAAGAATGCTGCTAAGAATATTTTGGTTTATAATGGACCTTTATTTTCTGTCTTTAGCTTCCTTGGGGCATATGTTCTATAGTAATATTTCTGGGTCAAAAGAATCATCCACAGTCAGTTTTCTTGCATAATTTCAGATTTCCTTATGGAACATTTGAACCAGTTCACAGCTCTACCAACAGCCTTGTCTTCTTATAGGCGATCTAACATTGACTGCTCCCGTTGTATTTCATCTTTGCCAATTTGCAAGGAGAACCTCAGAATTGTTTCAGTTTGCATTTCTGATGATTTAGAGCATGACTACAAATGGTCATTTTATAGTTTGTAACAATTTCAGAAATTTTTTGGATACTTTGACACATTTATTGGGCCAGTGGTTCTTGATAACAGTATTTATGTCATTACATCTCTTAGAAATGAAACTTTTATTGGTAACATTTAATACAAGTGTTTTTTTGCTCGGGAATTTTTCTTTTTATTTTATCTTCATTGATTTTCTGTTTGCATACGAAAGGTTTTTTTTGTCATTTTGTTTTTTTCAAAAACAAAATTGTCTATTTAATCTTTTCTTGTCTTGCCCTTTGTCCCTGGTTTGGTTGAGAGTTCATCCTCCAGCCATTGTTTTGAGAGTTACCTCTTCTAGTTCTCTTCTAATTTTTTATGATTTTATGTATTCAGTTCACATAACCATTTTGAATTTATTGCAACATATGGTATAAGATGTTGAACTAAACCTAAGTTCTGCTCATTGTTTTCCACTTTTCCCTGAAGTTCTTGTCAAAAGGAATTCTTTCCATCAGTAATTTATATTCCTGAGTTTATTAAACACTAGGGTACATTTTTTTTTATTGCATCTGATTCTTGCTTATTTACTTTGTTCCATTAATCTGCTTTTTTGCTTTTTAATTCAGTATACAATAGACTTGTTGACTACTGCCTTGTAATACAGTTTGAGGTCTGATAACACTGTGCTTCTTTCATTCTTTCCTGCACTCCTCTCCTTTCATTATATGCCTTGAGATTCCAGACCTTTTCTTTTTCCAAAAGAATTTTGTCAGTACATTGTCTAGTTCAATAATGTACCCCCTAGGCAATTTTATTGTCATAGCACTAAATCTGTAAAGTAATTTTATCACTTTTAAATTAAATTATCATGACTCAGTAATGAGCAGTGAATATACCTCCAATTATTTAAGTCTGTCTTTCTGCAAAGAGCATTTTGTAGCTGTATTTATATAAATCTTGTATTTGTCTTGATAGGTTAATTTCCAAATGTTTTATGTATTTTGTAGCTGTTTGAATGAAATTTCTCAAATTGTTTTTTCTAGGATTTTGTTAGTACTATATAGCAATGTTGATGATTGTTGAATTACTTTTTGTATACTGCTCCGTTACTTTAATGACGCTATTAGTTTTCCCATTTATTTTATTCATTGATTTTCTGTGGTTTTCTAAGTATAGTATCATATCATCTACAAATGAGATAATTTTTCCTTCTCCATGCCAGTGTTTATGCCTTTAATTTTTTTCCTTTTGTTGCTAGAGTAAGTATTTTTAGAACTATGCCGAAAAATAGTAAAGAGAGGGAGTTGTCCTTGCTTTACCCATCTTTTTACTTAGAATTCCAGTGTCTCTCCATCGTAAGCAAGGCTAGCTTTCAGTTTTAAATATATGCTTTTGATGATGTTAAAGAAAGGTGGTTCCATGCTTATGCTTTTAAAATGATTAACATAAATGACTGTTGCATTTTGTTAAAGGCCTTTTCCACATCTGTTGAAATATCATTTTTGTGTTTTCTTGTTTATATGATTAATCATGCTAATTATTTTTCTAATATCGAACCATCTTTGCATGCATGGTATAAATCCTATTTACTCATAGTAGATTACTTTCTAGTTCTATTACTGTAGTCTTGTGAAGATTTTAAATATTTGCATCAATATTCACTAGTGAGTTATTGTACTCTTTTATACCTTTGACTCTTCCTGGTTTTGGTATTGAAATAATATTTATTTTAGAGTACTTTCTCTCTCAGTGTTTAAGAAAAATGTTTGTAGAATAGAATATAGTAATGGCTTCTTCATTGTTTGATAGAATTCATTCGTAAATCCATCAAGCCCAGAGATTTTTTTTTCATTTGTGACTTGTTTATTCATTTGAAAGTCAGATTTTTTATTCAGCTCTGGTCTTTTCCTCAGGAATGCTTGAAAGTCCCCTATTTCATTGAATGACCATTTTTTACCCTGAAGGATTATACTCAGTTTTGCTGGATAGGTGATTCTTGGTTGTAATCCTGTCTCCTTTGCCCTCTGGAATATCATATTCCATGCCCTCCGGACCCTTAATGTAGAAGCTGCTAAATCTTGTGTTATTCTGATTGTGTTTCCACAATACTTGAATTGTTTCTTTCTGGCTGCTTGCAATATTTTCTCCTTGACCTGGGAGTTCTGGAATTTGGCTACAATATTCCCAGGAGTTTTCCTTTGGGGATCTCTTTCAGGAGGTGATCGGTGGATTCTTTCAATTTCTATTTTGCTGTCTGGTTCTAAAATATCAGGGCAGTTTTCCTTGATGATTTCTTGAAAGATGATGTCCAGGTTCTTTTTTTGATCATGGCTTTCAGATAGTCCAATAATTTTTAAGTTCTTTCTCCTGGATCTATTTTCCAGGTCAGTTGTTTTTCCAGTGAGATATTTTACATTCTCTTCTATTTCTTCATTCTTTTGGATCAGTGTTACAGTGGCTTGATTTCTCAGTGTCACTAGCTTCTAATTTCTCCATTCTAGTTTTTAAGAAGTATTTTCTTCAGTAAGCTTTTGGACTTCCATTTGGCTAATTTTGCTTTTTAGGGCATTCTTCTCCTCATTGGCTTTTTGGACCTCTTTGCCATTTGGGTTAGGCTATTTTTTAAGGTGTTATTTTCTTCAATATCTTTTTGGGTCTCCTTTAGCATTATTCTCAGTTTTTCCTCTACTTCTCTTACTTGCTTCTCAAAATCCTTTTTGAGCTCTTCCATGGCCTGGGACTAATTCATATTTTTCTTGGAGGCTTTGGATGTAGGAGCTTTGGCTTCGTTGTCTTCTTCTGGTTGTATGTTTTGATCTTCTTTGTCACCAAAGTAAGATAATATAGTCTGACTCTTTTTGCGCTGCTTGCTCATGATCCTGGCCAATTACTTGAGTTATAAACTCTTTGTTAAGGTAGGAGTCTGTTTCCAGTATGGAGAATGTACTGTCCCAAGCTTCAGGGGTTTTGTGCAGCTGTTTTCAGAGATGCTTCTAGGGACCTGTAAATTTTCAGTTCTTCCAAGGTGCTATGATCAAGGGCGAGGTGTTTGCTCCTTTGCTGGCCTGTGCTCTGGTCTGTGAGTGACCACAAGCACTCTTTTCTGTCTTGGAACTGTGAGGAGGGTTTCCTCTTCACAGCCACTACAAGCTCCAGTGCACCAGCGCTCCTCCTTGCCTCAGAACCATCATCCGGAACTGTGACCCAGATCCAGGTACGGGCAAAGCAAGGGAATCCTGCACCAGCAGAGAGCTCCCTGCAGTCCGCCTCTGATCAGCCGCTCGATTCCCCCTCAGTCTGTGGGTCAAAGCTCAGGAGGCAGCTACTCCCTGGGGC